GAAAACTCTAACAGCAGCTATTCATGGGCTCAAGCCCAAACTGCTAAGAAAATTACAATAAACAAGAGACCCACAACAGTACTTAGCATCTACGGGCCTGGAGGCGCTGCCCCCCGGACCCCCGCCCGCTCACCTGGTAGCGGGATCCCAGTTTCCTTTCTGTTGATCCCGATAACTAGAACCTTCATCAGCATGCGAAGTATGAGATATTCCCAACATAAATAATGGTAATACTTCTCTCATTTAACATGAGGGTAATTTTTTTTTTACACTAATACAAAATATGGAGCTCACAAGTTAAAGAAAAAATAAATAAATAAATTGCATACACATCTTTTTATATCCGTATGACATGAGATAATTATAACCTACATTTAAGAAAACAATTTCCAAACAAAAGTTTTAGAGCGGGCATGAAGTTGATTCAATGAATCATGGTTGGTACATGCGTCTCTCTCGAGGCATTTGAGCATCGATCTTATCGATTTTTTTTTTATAAAAATTTCGTTAAATAATACATGCCATTATACGTTCACACTTCACATGCTATTATTGAACAAATCCTCTGAAAACATTTAACAAAAAAAAAAAATTAAGCAAAATGACACTGGTTTGAGCGTTGAATATAAGTTCCGTAAAACTTGAGTTTTTTAAATCAAAATTATTGAATAAAAAATGTGTTAAAATTATTTTTGTCACGATGCAACTTTATTTTCTTACTGTGATAAAATATAACCCTATATATATGATTATAATGTGCTTCCAATGAACTGGATACACATCCAAACGTATAACCAATGGTGGGGTGCGGAGGGGTTAGGGTGGGTGATGGTCTCTCTTCAAGTTCATATAGGTCTTTAGTTTTAATGTAATGGTCTTTTTTATTTTTTTTGTCATTGATTGACCCCCTTCAAGCTCTTACAAATCTTTAATGGTGAGTATTATTTCTTTTCTTTTTTTCATGTAAATACATAACGCTCATTAAAAAAAATTTACTATTGCGTATAACTTCTTTGTATAAATTAAAATTATATATATATATATATATATATATATATATATATATATATATATATATATATATATATTACTTTACAATTGGATTTCATTATAAATAATACTATTAATTAGTTACCAAACTTGTTAATGCACGAATTCCACGTATTCTTTTTGTTGGTGTAGAGTTAATCATTTAAATTTTTATAAAACAATATAAGGATCGAAGATATTTAAAATTTCGAATGAATTGCGTTACCGTTCGGTATATATTTTAAAGTCGTGAAAAAAATAAAAAAAGTAACATTTATGTCACCTAGAGATTTCTTAATAATATTTATTTATCTCAATTTATGACACATTGATACTTCAAAAAATTTGACGTGTTGTGTCTGACACTTCCCGACACTCTCTGATATTCTGAAACTCTCCGACACTCCAATACGAGTTGTAGAAACTTACAAAAAAAAAAAAAAAAAAAGGAAGCCTAGTGGTGAGAGAGTGGGTAGTGAGTAATAAGTGCTGTCTTCGATTCTCAATGTTTTCAAAAAAAAAAAAAAGACTCAAAAAAGAGTTCAAAATTTGTGTTTTGTTGCGTTTTTATTTTCAACTATTAGATTCGTTGGATTACAATTACCATTTTATTGAATTTAATATAACTATTTGAAATATCTTATGTTTCTTTGTAAATTGATGGATTTTATAAGTTTAGCTTCATTTTTTGTTAAATTATTTAATATTAAAGATGAGATATATTACATAAATTAAAAATATTATTTAATATTAAAATGTGTCTTAACGTGTTGAAATCCAATATTTTTAGAATTAATATGTCAAAGTATCATATCGTATCTCGTGTCGCATCAAACACCCAAATCTAAATCTTTAAAGATTATTACAAAAAAAAAAACTATAAAGATTAAAGAAAGAGAGAAAATAAAGATTAAAAAATAAAATAAAAGTTACTCAATCATCTATATAAAAATATATACAAAAAATGTAATTATAGATTTGTGCAAGAATAATTAGTGAGTGGAAATTGGTATGCTAGAAGGGATAGGTGATACCATGAATCCAGGAGTAATCGTAGGTGCTAGGGGTGAAGCTGGGTCGGGTCAGCCCAAATGGACCTACAGTTTGGCCTATGGTAGGCTAGACCTAATCAAATATATTTGGTAAAATAAGCCGGACTCAGGCCTTGAAAAAAGCTTGTTTAATAAATAGGTCGTAGGTCCACTTTTACAAGACTTGGTCTATAAGCCTACAGGCTGGCCTCTATTGTACTATTTATTTTAAATAAAATAAAATAAATATGTCTTGAAGAAAAAATAAAAGGTATAAATTTAATCAACTAAATTCTTTTATAATTTAATTATATTCAATTAAATTTTAATAGAAATTCGACTTTATTTCTTATATAAGAGGAACCAACATCTCAGCATGTTAGATTGTGTAAATGAATATATTAAAAGATTTTTGGGAGAGGTTATACTTATTATTGTTTGTTTCTTATTATCTGTTACTACCAAATCTTAATTATTGATTTTCGCCAATCTAACGATTATAATTTATTTGGTCATTAATTAATTATTAATTTCTAATAAATTATAACTATTAAATTTACGGAAACCAACAGTTAGGATTTGGTATTAAGAGGTAGTAAGAAAAAAATGTACTAAGTATAACCTCCCCTAAGGTTTTTATTTCTTAATCTTATTTTTTTTTCTATTCTTTAATTTTGTTTTTTGTTTTCTACATTTACAAATTGTTTGTCAACTTACATAACATTGGAATTCTAAATGCAGATTGCGATAAGTTGTTGTTGTGATTTGATTCTGTTTGGACGTTAAAATTGTGATTTTTGTTTTAACAACATAATTTGAGTATTTTGTGAAGTTGATTCTTGATTTTGCTTAAAAGTTAAAATTAACAGGCTAACGGGTCGGGTCAGGCCATTTATTTTTTATAAATGGGTCAGGCTAAGTTAACAGTTAGACTCGTATTATGTTACCGGATCAGGTCAAATTGAAAATTTTTAACATAGACTTGGACTTATTGAGATAAGGCTCGGCCCAGCCCAGTTCACTTTCACTCGTAGTTGGTGCAATATTAAATTATTTGTACATTATAAATTATGATAACTAATCGTTAATTAATAATAAATCCATAAGTTACTTACTCATTGTACCAAATTAATTATGCAAGTATTTGTTAAGAAACATATGGAGTTTTAATATGATACATATTGGATATTCCGTTCGAAGTATAAGGGATTTGGTCTTAACTTTCTTTCTTTTTTCTTTTAGCTTAGTTTCTTGGATTTTGTGAACCTGTCTGTAGAGACGCAGGGGAATTCGGGAAAGTGGCTCCACTGGAAAGGCACTGTGCTTCGATTAGGTGTATTTAATGTACCATAGGAGATGTATGATGAAACATGTGTTATTTGTTTGCGTGGATTATAAAATGAAAAATTATAATTTATTCTCCAACAAAAGCGAATTCGTTCTTTTAACAAATAAAGTTGAATTCATTCGCACGAATTAGCTTCGATTCGTGTGAATTGAATTCATTTGAAGCCAAAAATGCTATCACGTCAGTTATGGAAGTTGCTGTCATACTATTTTTTATGTATACATAACTTACCTTTAATAGTAACAAGAAGACAAGTTATTAAATATTAGTTTCAGAATAAATTTTTTAAAAATTATTAAATATAAATAGCAGATTATATATGTTCAACAATATATAAAATGGCTGCCCTATAATGTTTCCTTAAACTATAGTTGTCAATTTCATTTAGGAAACCAAAAAACATATACATGGTTATTTCCATAGAGCTATATAACAAGGGATTTAGTTTTTAAAGTAACAGGCATATTTATAAATAAATAAAAAAGTGCAGTATAATTGTTAAATAAAAATTTAATGGTCAGAAGTATATAAAACACACACACACACATATATATATATATATATATATATATTAAATCATTGAATTTATGTTATTAACATTTTAATTAATTATTTTAATTATGTGTTTTTTAAAATGTACCTCTTACTTTTAGAGGACTCAAATTAAAGTAAGATTACTTGTATACGATGCTGAGGGTCCTAAATAGTAGGCCAGCGTTCACTTGGCTAATTAATTGAATCTGTTCAAGTATTCTTGCCCGAGACCCAGGATCAATTTGTCTTCCACTATCCTGTGTCTCTGAGTCTCTGGGCTTCACAAAAAGCACAAGCAAAAACAAAAGCCTAAGGTCTAATTGGCAAGACGTCCTGATTGACCTAATTTGATTTGCACGTGTCAATACATGCATTAATTCATGCCTCTTTACCTACATTACGCAAGACTGACATATATTATTATTATTAATATTACTAATATTATTATTTATCCATTATTATTATTTTTTAAAAATAATAAAAATAGTTTATTAGAATAAAATTATTATAATGGAACAATTTACTTATTGCATACTTTTATGACAATATGCATATTTATATTCTTTAAAATAATAAATTATTATAGTGGAAGACTTTAATTATTGCATACTTTTATAAAAATATACATATTAATGTCCTTTAGAATAATAAGATCATATTATAATTGAACACTTTACTTATTTCATACTTTTATAAAAGTATACATATATATTTAACTATGTGAACACATAAAAAGTGTTCGTTATTAATATTTATTATATTAAAGAATATAAGCAATGTAATAAAGAGGGCCATCCGAACTTTGAATTGTAATTTTTTTAATTATTATATTTCCATTAAGAAAAGTGCAAAAATAATTCATCAACAAATATCTACACACACTCCTTGGATAACAAGCACTGTTTGTAGTCTGAATCTCCAATCCCCATAGACTTTATAAATACCCCTTTGTTGCTGACTACACCCTCACATCTAGCTCTTTATCCTTCTCTACTAATTTCCTATTGTCTTCAATCTCATTAATTTGCGGTTGCAGCTAGCAAAGCACAATCATGGAGATGAAGGGAATATGGAATGTAGTGCATGGGTTGAAACCAATCATGCTAATGGTGTTGGTGCAGATTGCATATACTGCGGTCAATGTTCTCTACAAGCTCGCCATTAACGATGGAATGAGTGTGAAGGTTGCCACTGCATACCGCCTCGCTTTCGGTTCTGCTTTCACTGTTCCTCTTGCTCTTATTACTGAAAGGTCCATGATTTTCTTCAACCTTCTTCTTTTTTCTAATTATTATTAATTACTCTAAACTTATAGGAGGATAAACACATATATTATTTAAGCATCTTTGAACCATATATACCATAGGGCAATAAGATTAACTTGGCTAAAATGGGTTTTTTTTTTTCTCTATACAGGAAGAAGAGACCCAAGCTGACTTGGAGAGTGCTTTTCATGGCATTCTTTTGTGGCTTGTTCGGGTATGTTACGTAAATTCTTTACCTTTTCCCTCATATATATCGTGACTTTTCATGAACATGTGCGTGCGTACATTATATTGTCAATGGCATAAATATATGTAGTTAATTAATTAATTTACCAATTGAATATATGGTTATGCAATCTTACAGGGGAAGTTTATTTCAAAACCTTTTCTATGAGGCCCTGGCTTTAACATCTGCAACGTTTGTGTCGGCTATCTACAACCTCGTTCCAGCCATCACCTTTATCTTAGCCATCTCGTGCGGGTATAATCACCAGCTACCATCATCAACAGTACTATATATATATATATATATATATATATATATATATATATATATATATATATATAGGGTTAGGATCATTTTACACCAGTGTAGGTTACACTCTTAATCTTGTCCACTGATCCCATTTATATCTAAGAGCTCAAATTATTTTTTAGTAATGTGAGCCATTGGGTACAAGTGGATCAATGGTCAAGATTGAGTGTAAGACTTCTAACTCTTACACCAGTGTAAGAATATCCTGCCCCATATATATATATATATATATATATATATATATATATATATATATATATACACGATTTATCTTCTTAATTTTGTAAATTAATGTCCATTAGTACGTCATGCAATAAAACATTAAACGATATTAATTAGCTATAGTGGAAACTGAAATTATTTTTAGCAGTCATAACTTTATTGCTTTTGTTTAATTTTATATATAGTTTCGAAAGATTAAATTTGAGGGCAGCGGCAGGAAAGGCTAAGGTGTTGGGAACTCTAATTGGAATTGGTGGGGCGATGCTTTTGACCTTTTTCAAAGGAGTAGAAATTAATATCTGGCCCTTCCACATAAACGTTATGCATCCACATCAGCACCAAAATGGCCACGTGGCTGACTCTGGTAGTAATTTGTTGGGTGTTCTCTGTGCCATAGCAAGCTGCTTCTCTTTTGCTCTGTGGCTCACCATTCAGGTGAGTTTATTCCTCACGACACTGGCTCACCAACTTTTTAATTTAGCTTCTTTGCATTTTTTTTAGTATATCACTATGTGAAGCTGTTGTTTGACTTGTATAATTTGCCTCTTGTGTTGCACAGGCTAAGATGAGCAAAGAATACCCAAGCCATTACTCAAGCACAGCTTTGATGTCTACAATGGGAGCAATACAAGCCACTGGTTTTGGTCTTTGTATTGAGAGAGATTGGAGCCAATGGAAGCTAGGTTGGAATATCAGGCTACTTGCTGTTGCTTATTCGGTATACACTTATTTACTTAATCACCATGGGTTTTAAATAAATTGTAACTGCATATATTTAATTATATACAAATTACATATGCAAGTGAAGAAAGGAAGTTCTTAATTATGTGAGTTAATTTTATTGCAGGGAATTGTGGCCTCTGGATTAGTGGTTATTGTCATTGCATGGTGCATACAGATGAGAGGGCCTCTATTTGCGTCTGTTTTCAACCCTCTAATGCTCGTGCTTGTGGCAGTTGCCGCTTCTTTAATGTTGGATGAGAACTTATATTTAGGAAGGTACGTATACACTAAATCAATTTTTTTGTTTTTTGATTTTTTTTTTGTTTTTGCCTTCCAAATATATAATTAATACTCATGATTTGGTATAACTATATATATATATATATATATATATATATATACAGTGTGCTTGGAGCAGTGCTGATTGTGTGTGGCCTATACATGGTTCTATGGGGTAAGAGTAAAGAAATGAAAAAGATTACTCAGTTAGTGCCATCAGAAATCATCGGAGAAGCCGAAGCTATAGAAGTTGTTGTTGCTATGTCCACTTCCATACCAGTAGATCATGATAAATGTCACCACCACAATAACCAAAGCAAAACCAATAATAATACCGGGAACGTTGACAAAGATCATGACGATTTGTCAAAAATTGGAGAAGAAGATGATATTAACAATAGATAGGGATAAGGGGGAGAGGGAGAGAAGAGGAAGTGCTTTACTAAGATAATACATAAATATTAATTGTATCAACTATCAAGTGCTGAGGACGAAGATGATCCTCCGTTTTACATTTGGCCATTAATCTTCTCTCTTTGTTTCTTTTATTCTTTTATTCCGCTAGTCATTGAACTACCTTCTGGTTATGGGCCTTTGCTTCTTTAGGATGTTTGTTCTTTAGTTTGGGACTTTGGGCTGTTATACAGCCCATGTATGTATACGTATGTATTGGAGAGTTAAACTTTTTAATAAAACTAGTGCATTGCCTATGCCATATTACAAAAAAAAAATCAAAATTTTTATCCGTGTTGGTTAATCTTTAGGGGGCGTTTCGTAGAGGAGAAATTTTTTTAAATCCGGAAAATAATTATTACTGAAATGTAGTATGAAATATATTTGGTCTGGAATGTTAGTAAAAGATGTTTGGTATGTTAAAATTTTCTCGGGATTTTATGGTTTACTTTACTAAGTATGTGTTTGGTTAGTTGTGAAATATTAGTTGGAAAGTGAGGTTATTTTACAAAAATAACCCCACTTTAAACTGTACCAATCTGTTTACTACTTTTATAAAGGTTAATTTTGTCTATTAATTGACACCTCAATCTCTAGTTTCCCGGACAACAAAACATTCCATCCAATTTATGGCATTTTACTTTTGGATAATGTGCAACAAATTGCACATAACTTGATTTTCCCGGAAACGTTTGGTGTCTGGAATTTTTTTTTTTTTGCTCTACCAAACATGGATTTAGTATTTATCTAAACATGCTTTCACGGGAAATCGAAAATAAACCCAATAACAAACGCCCCCTTAAAGGAAAGAACCGTGTCACTATTTTGTACTATTATGTTATAACATATATTTTGACATTAACAAATTAATTTAATATTTATTTTATGATGTAGAAATTCTGTTCAACCAATCAAGATTTAAGACTTCTATAGATCCATGAATGCTACACGCTTACTTTGTTGTCACGTGTCATAATCATAATGGTATAGAAAATATCATTCTTTTTTTATATCAACTTTATACATTATTTTAGAGGGTGTACAAGATATACTGTAAAATTTACTATATTATACTGTTATTAATCAATACGAGAAATTTCATTTGACGGAAAATATACAGAAAATTTATCAAAAAAGATAAAATAACCTCCATAAAAGATTAGCTAATCTTTTTGTGATGTGCGTACAGATTCCTCACAAGTGTTTTTTTTTTTTCTTGAATGTTAATGTTGTTGTTATAGTGGAACTAATAGTCATAGAATCTACTAAACTTGATGAACAACGTTTAAAAGAAATCAGGAATTTAAATATAAAAAGTTATTATTGCATATATGAATTTATTTTGAAAAATAATACGATAACGCACATATTCATAGATAAACTTGTGTAAATTTTAGTTTATTTATTTTTGCATGCTTGAAGTGTTTTACGTGTATAATTAATTGCAATATCCCAGGCTAATATATATACATACCATAAAAGGTAAGTGATTGTACGTGTTTCTATTAATTGGGAGCTGTATGAGGTAAATTTGTTTGGATCATTGGTTGTGGAATCCGATGCAATTGGCCAATTTGAAAGCCAATCAGCCGGATTTGTTTGTTGCAGTGACCCGCAGAACTGAACTGGGTCAAAATCCACAGACCACAAGCCACAAGAATTATTAATAAATAAAACTAAGCGCAAGTGGAGAAAAAAGGCCTAAGGGACTAATTATAAGGGCACCCGAAATTAACGGTAGAAATTCTTATGCGTGAGAAAGTTGCCATATTCAATCTGGGTTCACACTATATAAATAAGGATTTTATTAATATTATGTTACATAACTTAAGTTTTGTTTTCAAATACATAATAAAAGAAAAAGAGAAAGTGCAATGATGAAAGAAAAAGAAAAATATGTGAATTCCATCTTTTTAATATGTGTGTAGGAAAATGAAGTTGTGTTATGTTACATGATAAACATAAAACTCTATAAAATAATACATGGTTATCCACTACAAAACTAAAAGCATTGATAGCGCACTTTAGCATTATCCTCTAGGTGAATGCTAACGAGTATTTCTAATGTGCTTGTTATAAATTTAAAAAATAAAAAAAATATTAACAAAAGTAAATCTAAATTAGTTTTAATTTTTCTCTTTTTTATAAGTATTCTTCAAGTACTAGTCAATAGAACCCTTCTCATTAACAAAAGCCTTTGCAATGGTCAAAACATTGAACGTTCCTTTAATATGAAAACTTAAGTACTTTTAACTTTAAAGAGTAGTATCCTTAATTATTATAATATGATTTTGAATTTATTAAATAATATTTTAAATTAAATCTAACTATCAATATAACTATCAATGTGTGACAATTTTCTTAAACTAAGAATATTGTTGATTTGTTGTTATATATAGGTTTTATATTTCTCATTCAACATGAGAATTGAATTCTCATGTTGTAGAGACAAAAAGTATGTGAGATCCGTATATAAAAAAAAATTATATGTAAAACCCACGTTGACACAAAAATCAAAAAATATATTCAAATTCTTATATTAAATAAGAATTATAAAACCCGTTATATATAGTACATAATAATTTCTCCTTCAATAGTTGGTTGGGCCCAGAAGAGCAAAGATGGGCGATTCAACTTTGGTGGCCGACTGATACCTATGTAGTTAATGACAGTACAGCTGTAGGCATGCATGTGCTATTTTTTGGAGTGGCATTTTCGTAGTTTCTTTAAATGATAATGGTCATTTCTTAATCGTAGAGTTTATAAATATCAACGTGGAGAAGTAGAATGAACACAGTGAACCAAAAAGGTAAACTTAAGAGGGTGAAGATGAAGAAGATAGTGGCTGCAGTAATGCTTATATTTCTTATCTCTTCCCAAATGGAGAGCGTTGAGCCCTCTGCAGCGGATTGCTTAGATGCTTGCTCCACTGCCTGTGTTCAAAGAGACAGTTAGTGATTTCTTAATTATCCTTTTCCTCTCTCTTTACTGTTCTTATTTTATTTTTATTTTTGTAAATTATCAAAATTCATTCATTTAACTCCAATTTATGACTTATTGGCTCTTTAATTATGCTTTAAAATGTTCAGGTGTATATATATATATATGAAGAGTTTGATCTTCATAAGGTGTATTTTTTTATATTATTGTAAAGTTTTGTATTAATAAAATGAATTAGTTTGACTAAATAATAAAACTACATGAGATCTTAAATCTAAACTCATTATTCAATTGAATGATGATAAAATTATTTTTACATTGAGGATAAATTAGGAATAAATTTAGAGTTCGTTTTTTATTCGTTTACTGTAGTAATACGATATTGTTTTGGGCAGAAATTATAATATTTTTTAATTTAATTTATTTCAGAATTATAATAATTTTTATATTTATAATTTTTTTAAGATTTCAATATCAAAACGATATTGTTTTGAGAACAAATACATATAACTTATATGCAGTTAATGCAGAAATATTTTTCCCATAAATTTATACAACAAATAGACTCTTGGCCGGCAAAATCAAAATACAAAATTAGTGAAATGAAAATACAATTTTACTCCTCATGGTATAGTTTATAGATGATATGATTTCGATGTTTGATGAGGACCAAATGTCACATGCAGCAAGGCTTATGCAACGGTGTGATGGCAAGTGCCAGATTAAATGCGGTCCAGGTAACCAACCTAATTACCTAACCCAAAGATTTCTTCTCACTATGTATACTGCAAAATATAGAGTCCAGTCCATTATTGAATTCATGGTTTTTTTTTTTTTTTTTTTGGCTTTTCCAAATCCAAATGAGATTAAATCACCTATGTACACAGTCTAACAGTCTTGGGTTTCTTGAGCTGATCCCATTGTGATTTTAACATAACACTATTTAGTTACGGAAATTAAAATGTAAAATTCAACATTAGGGTCTGGGTGGTGTAGTTGGTTATCACGCTAGTCTCACACACTAGAGGTCCCCGGTTCGAACCCGGGCTCAGACATTTTATTTTATTATTATTTTCCTAATTGTTTAGAAATGTCTGAATTGATTTTTTCCCTTGTGATTAAATTTTTCAGATTCCACTATCGAGGAGGACATGGGTCGAGTAATCACTTGAGACTTGAGAGCAAACAATACCACCTGGCTCTTACTCATTTCTGATATAATTGAAGTTTGTTTGTAGTACCATCTAATAATAAACATGGATGAGAGGAGAGCTTTTTAATTTCAATTTTGTTTAACATAGATGTTTTGTACTGTTAAGGGAGGGTGACAGAGATTGAGATTTAAAATACGGAAAAATATTTCTCCGGCAACTTGAGATAATTTTATCTCTGGTCACCTCAAAACTATGTTGTTTTATTTATTATTTTCTTATATTAATTGATTCACTTTTGAATGATTATGATTTCGTTTTTCTCTTTTTTCCTTTATTACTATTGATCCATCTTTGTACGGTTATGATTTAATAACCGGAGATAAAATTATTTTCGTCAGCTTGAGAAATGATAAGTCTTTTAATATATATATATATATATATATATATATATATATATATATATATATATATATATAAGGCAATTAATATCACTCCACTATCACATCGCATCTAATATATTCGCAAATTTGCTATTTGTGCTATCAGTATTATAGCAACGAACTTTGCCCAATTACCCTCAATCCTCTTGAATAACACTTAGTACTTAAGTTAGCAGTAATATTTTCGATCAATCAAATTTTGAATACTGAACGAATGAATCACTTGAGCTTTCGTCTCTATTTATAGAGATAAATTTCTACAGCTATTGCTACCGAATAACATACAAACATGACCAACATGTGAGAGTACTTCAACCGAATTGGACATATCATCACATGACCAACTAATCATCTTTGTAGATTATTGTGCATATCAATCTCCAACACAAGGTATATGTTTTAGGTTCAATTCCCACATAAGAGAATAAATAATTGTATAATTGTCCCCACACGCACTAATTAAGATCTCTTAGAAAACATTTACGTATAGATAGATAAAGGTTCCACTGGCAACGTAATTGGGTGAAAGACTCTAAAGTAATCCCTCTATACATATGAGCTGCATAATTCAAGAGTGTCCTCACATTTTGCAACTCTAGGTTGTGGAAGATATTTTCTTCTGATCGCAATTATGGGAATTGGGAAATTTTATATTTACAATAGACAAAAGGTGTCGTCTTCAAGGGGTTTAAAACAAGTTCAACTTCAGAGAAGAGAAGGGGAACTTAACTTATGTGACTAATGTGGCAGCTTACACCCTTGGTGGTATTCATCCAAGTAGTGTCTTATTGCATCAATCTTAACCTCTGTTGATGGTATTCATGATGACCAAAACTTTAGCCCAACCTTGTCAATAAGGATAAGCAACCTAACTGCCTAAGGTTAAAGGTGAACGTTTTCAATGCTCCGAACATTCTATTGAGAATCATTTATATTAAAAATTGACCAATGATAGTGAATTAGTGATGCATGACCAGCTACTTAGTGAATAGATCAAGAGTTAATCTTATATCTTCTTATAAATTATATAAAAAATTTATTTTCTTATAAAATTTTTATTTTATCCCTCGAAATCAGATTACTCATTCTCTCTCCCTCCCACTCACCAAGACCAACAAAATCAAGCGATGATGAAGACACGTAGACGGAGGCGGGTTTCACGGGGAAAGTCGGGCAGCTAAAGATTGGGGGCAAAAAATTAATATATTGTTATTTAAATAACAAAATAAAAACATAGCAATTTGAAATTAATTTATGAATTTATTATACTTAATCTCACTCAAATAAGGTGAAATAACTTTCACCCAAAATGGCGAGAACCCCATCTCAGAGCTTTTAACACTAGTGTCAAAATCTCATCTGAGAGTCCTTAGATCAAAAAAGATCAGTGGTGTCACATGCTTACAAATAAGAGTTGTTGATCTTTTTTGATTTAATGAATTTCAGATGAAGTGTCAAATTTGATACTGGTGTCAAAGGATCCTATATATATATATCTATATATATTATATATTTATATATTTGTTTAAAATGTTTCACCTTCATTTAAATAGTTTATTTTTGCAAATTTGATGTTGATAATTAATAATTAACTAATTTATGTAATTCAATAAATTAAAATCTTGAAATTGCAAAATTTATGGTGGTAATAGTTAATAATTAATTAATATATATATAACCAATAAATCACAATCATCAAATTAATAAAAATCAACCATTCAGACGAGATGTCTTTAACTTTTAGTGTACATATAAACAACATCCTTTCAAACATCGTTCAATATCTCAATATCCAAAACAAAATAGGGAAGCAGAAGTAGATCATGTCATTGAAGGATCTTGGACAGCAGTAAGATCTTTAGAAAAATGAGTAGTTGGGCTTCGAGTAGACAGACCTTCATCTCATAATGAGGGCCATGAAATGTTGGTGCGTGATGGACTGATGGCTTCATCAGATAGCGAAAATGAGGACCCCACTGTATTAATAAAGCAGTAAGGGGGCGTTTGGTACGGGAGAAATTTTTTTTAAACCAGGAAACAAGTATTATTGAAATATAGAGGGAAGGACATTTTGCCTGGTAAGTTACAAAAAGGTGTTTGGTTGGGATTAATTTTACCGGGAAAATGTAGTTAATTTTATAAATTCTATGTTTGGTTATTTGTAAAATATTGATGGGATAGTTAAAGAAAATGTCAAAATTATCCTTTCCCTTTGTTAGTTTGAAATCATAACGTTTGAAACAACACATCTTGACCATTTCACTCAGATTTGGTAGTCACTGTTGTCTCATTCTGTCTACATTTTCTTCGTTTTTGCAAGCTACTGTTGTGGTCTGCCTTCTGGTTTGTTGAACTGGGCTGGCCGGAGATCTATCGACTTTGCCAACCGCGCAGGCAACTCGTGTCCGTCGGCCGTCCAGACTTTGAGGTAATTTATATGAATGGTGGTTGTTGTCGAACCGCAACTACAGTAAACCCTTTCGGTTTACATTTTGCAGCAAACATTATGAAGAAATCGGCAAATCCATCTATCCGTAAAGATCCATAATTTAGAAGTTGGTATTTATCGTCGTTATAGATATTCCATATGACTTTACAATGCTTGAACGTTTTCGGTTCACCTTACGGTATGAAAAGGTAGATTGGGTATAAAAACTTTGTTTTGAGTATTAATAACTGTATGTGATGTTCTTGATTTTAATTCCTGTATGGGTCACGATTGAGTCTTAAGTTGTTTGCATTTCTATGTGAGTCCACCTGTTCTCCCTTGTTTTCCCCTAAATTTTGCTGGAAATTGTGAGATTGGGGTTTATTTTTGTACTCTGTAAGCCTTATTTGGTTATGAAGCAAAGGTGTGCTGCAATTTGTTATTCTAGTTGCAGTTATGTACCAAAAATTGAATTTACATTTGTTGTATACATGTATATTTGACCGTGTGTTATGATATTTTGTACTAACAATAAGCCAATCTTGTAGTCATTGGGTGTTGTGGGTCACTTTGTGTCACAGGAAGAAATCGTTGATTCAAAGGCATAATGGGTGGAGATGGCTGTCATAGTGTATTTTCTGGGCAATCGTCATGTGTATCCTCATCGAACTTGAAGATGTGCAATTGTGGACTGACGGCTGTGGTTCGTAAGAGCTGGACAGCAAGAAACCCAGGCAGGCAGTTCTTCGGATGTCCTAATTTCAACACACGTCGAGGATGTTGTAATTTTTTTCAGTGGGTCGATGAACCGACATGCCGTAACTGCAAGGATAAGGACTATTTGTTGAAATTTTCTATGCTTTTGCATATGATTTCTGTAATGGTGATTGGTATTGTAGTGTATGCCAACAAAAATGGTTGTTGAGTCCTAAATATAAGCTATGCTATCTTTTTTGCATATCACACCAAGTTGTAATTATGTTGAAGCCATGTACTTAGTGTGGACGGTTGCATGGATTTTGTGTTTGTAGTGCTGATGTACCATCTCTGTCTTTCTGATGTAACAAACTTGGTATTGTGGATAATGGGATGATCCAACTTCTACATCTATATATGTAATTAATATTTTAAACTTTTTTCTTATTTATATTTGCATGGTGGTTGGTGTAAAACTGTTGACTCTCATATTGTTGGTTTACAAGTTGTAGAAGCAGGCCTGATCCATGGCTGCCAATAAGTCATGTCATTCATTCTCCATTTGTTATGTTATGGAAGAGCATAAAAAGGGGTTGCTTGAACCACACTTTGGTGAGCTTGAGGTTCATCATCAAAGTAGGATCCAAACCCAATCCCAAGAAGGTTGCTGAGATTAACTCTGCTGTTGTTTGCAGTTGTGGCTTTTTATTATTTTTAATTTTGTGAGTTAACTTCTCTTAGCAGCAATCAATAGAGAAGTTCCTAATACTCACGGAACTGTAAGCATTTTAATCCCTTGTATGCTTATAAAAAACACTGCAAAACCTTCTTATATACCTTAATTGGTTATAACTTGGGTCACATTACCACTTTTCTGCCAGCATTAGTTAGCATATAAATGCAACTTACTGAATTCATTTTTTACTGTCCTTGTATTTCAGTAGTAATATTAGTATATTAATAGATATCTGCTTTCTTATATGAATTACAGATTGATAATGTTAATGCTATCACATTACCATCTTTTACTGTCAAATATTAATAGATATCAGATTAATATTAATGCTATCACATTACCATTTTTTACTGTTAATGTTAATGTTATTGCTATCAGATTAATATTAATAGATATCTGGTTTCACATGACCATTTTTTACTGTTTCATTTAACTTTCTGACACTATCATTAAGTCAAGTTTGATAATGTTAATGCTATATTCACATCACATGCTGAAGTTAATTAATGTTCTGCAGGTGTTGGCAATTTGGCAGCAGTGTTCTTATTTCCTATACTTATACATACTTTTCGTTTGGGTGTGATTGATGCTGCTCCTTCTCACTTGGCACTAATATATTGGGGGACATCATGATAGTGTTGCTTCAGTAGGTACCCTTATATGAGCAGCATTTCCCTTTGCTTAGTCAGTGTCAGTTACTATGTAACTACTGATTTAATAACCAAGAATAATTACTTTCTAGCTATCCACATGCACATACACACACATCACCAACCTTGTGTTTCGTATATCCAAACTTGATTCTGCCATTGATGTGATCGATGCTTATGTGTACCAATCACCAAGCATCATTTTTAGTAACTATATCCAAAAAAATTTCTTTGTAGTCTTGGTATCTTTGAGCATCTTAGACTCTAATATTTTATCAATTCGAATTTTGTGCACAGGTGGATTCCTTCTTGGGAGAACTTTAGCAGTTGTCATGGCCATTACTTTGAGCACATCA